AAGATCTTACACTGTGCCACACGTTGTGTGAAGTGCACTGTGCATGTTCTCACTTAAACCTGTTTACAGGCCCAGGAGACAGACATCAGAATCCTCAACAATGAGAACTGAGTCAGAGGTTAACATTCTTGCCAAGGTCACACAGCAGTAGGTGCCAAAAAGCTTTAAACATGAGTCCTTCTGAAAACAGCCCATGCTCTGTTCATTACTCCATGCTACCTTCTAAGGACATGAAGTATTTGCAAATTCGAATTGATTCATTGATTCATTTGTCACATTAGTTACACATCCGCGGGTTATAACATGCCATGGAGGAAACGAAAACTGGTAGATAAGCATGGTCTCTGCCATAAAGGGACTTGCAAATCTCATTAGACAGAATTCCTTCTATAGAGATATGTCGATGGACAGTGCTCTATGAAAATTTGAAGGTCTTTGCTTTAAAATAAAGACAGCTTTGTCTTGAGTGATACTATCCTTGGTCAACAAATTACAGTGAAATCAGTGAAAACATAATTTTCTTAAAGGGTAGTTAAATGTCATCCTAAACACAGTTAATAGTTATATGTTATGAGTGAAACATTCATTTTACTCAACAAAGCCAAAGTTCAGATTTCAGGAAAAGTAAATCAATACAAAGGCAAGATAATCAATCAACTTTCCCCACATCCTTATAAAAATTATAACCAAGTCTTTAACAAGTCTTTTATTAGTTCACTTCAATCCGCTACTTAATTTCCATTTTTACTTTATGAACATTCCTTTTTTTCTCCCCAAATGACACCTATTAATTAGTATTCACTCATTCTATAATGCTTCCCATCTATTTACTGCTTCTTGTCATTGTAATACACAGTTTGGGGCATGAATTTAAATCATTGCTTCCTCATTCGTGAACGTAACTAACCGAGTCCTCTACTTGAGGACTAAATTGTAAAGGAACAAAGGTAAATGATATTTTAAAATACCTAACACAAAAGGAACAGCATTGGAGGGATTTAAAATTATTCCTCTAATTACCTGCACAAACATGTTCTCAACACTCGAGAACAACTCTCCAGTTTCACTGGTCTGGCCCATAAGCCTCAAAGATGTCACAATAAAGAAAATTAATTGGCAGTAACTTCAAAAAGACTGCATTCCAGCACTAGAATGGAAAGAAAAGCAAATAATCCTAAAGCATCTGTGGAAAGGAACAAAGAACCCCCACCACACACAGGAGTTAAATACCTTATCCATATTTCAGTGTTTCTCTTTCAAAGGATCATCACTTTGCTCTCGTTCAGGTTTACATGTGTTACCAAGTATTTTAAACTATGACATGAAAAATAACTCTAGTGGTTTTAAATAATCTTGGTGTGTAAATTCTGCAAACCAGAGGGTCAAAGAAGTTTTTTCTACAGCTCAATTCATATATTGCTGTAATTTGTATTTGGGGGTGATTTTCAGGCAAGGAGAAAAAGCTGTTTAAATTTCTTACACAATTCTGCCCTCTGTTGTAACTATCTTGAATTACTGGCTTTAATAGATAGAACAGAATGTTATAAGAACGAAAAAAGGACCATACTGCGTGGGGGGGCGGGGGAACGGGGGGTTATACCTCACTATACACACATGAAAATATACAGAATTTTTTAACTTGAAGATCTAGTTAAACACACGGTACTGCAAAGTCATCATTTTTAGAATTTCTCTTTTCAAACATTCTAGTATCTAAACTTCTACATTTGTCCATTGGTTACATTTCAAATCATTGCACCTAATAACATAAATATGTTCCTTGTTCCTCATCCACTCCTTTGCACATAATGTAGGTCACCCAGACCTTGAATGCTCCACTGCTTTCTACCAACCCTTCCATGGATCAATATTCATGCACAGAATAAATATTTATTGAGCATCTATGTGTCAGGCAGCATTCTAGGCTCTGAACACCAGGCACGGCAGATGAGGTTGAAACCCTCAGCACTGCAGGGAGGCCCGAAGGCTTTGAACCATAGCTACAGTGCCTCAAGTTGGACAGTAAAAACTAAACCAGAGCCGAGGGAGAGAAAGCATTGAGGGCCAGAGTCCAAGACATTTGTCCACAGTGGCTGTCCAAGCAAAGGGGCCTGAGATGGGTCTGAGAAACAAGGGGATGAGCCGAGCCATAAGGAACCTAAGAACTACAAGCAGCTACTCAGAGCAGACAGATAAGCGTGGTCCCAACAGGCGGCCAAGGGATGGGCTCCTGCCCAGGCCGGGGCTTTGGCACATTCTGGGAGGATTATTGGGTCCAGAATCCTATCAAGGGCTCAGGCTGGATTAGACGACGTCCATCACGATGTTTAATACTCAATTAAAAGAACTACATGTTCCAAGAAATATTCATTCATAAATCCTGCCTTCCACTAACCACATCCTCATGTTCACTCACTTAGCGCCAACATGTAGCTGGAATAAACAAGAAAATAAATTTTCTCATGATAAAATTAATATGGGTACATTATAGAAAGGTTGAAAAATATAGAAAAGTACAAAGAAAAATTAAAATCCCTCATAATTGTGTCAAAGATAATCTCTGTTAACATACTGCTGTATGTACTTCTGATCTTTTGTGTTTCCACACTCATTTTTTTACATTAAAATCGGGATCATCCTATACATAATGTTTAATACCTGCTTTTTTACTAACATCTTAAACAAATATTTATGTCAGTACTCTGCTAGATGTTGAATATATATTGCATATAATATTCATGATTCCCGCCCTCTCGAAGCTTATAGTCTATTGGAAAACATATTATATTATAAATATTTTCCATATCCTTAAAAATTATTTGAGAGCACACATACTTATGAATGGACTGTATTCCATTTTACAGATTACCATTAGTCAATTTTTCAGTAATATAAAATGTCATCCAGTGAGAATTACTGACAGAAATCTTTTTAAACAACCCTGATTATTTCCTTAGAGAAACTGTCAGAAATTGAATTACCCACAGGATATTAATATTTTTAAAACTTTAGATATATATTTCCAAATTACTCCCCAGAAAGATTGTCCCAATATAAACTCTTATTATAGCATGGAAAAGTACCTATTTCCTCATGTCTTTACCAATATTAGTATTGTTTTTAAGATTCATTACACGAATAAATCATTGTCAGTTTGGCACCTAAAAAAATAGTATCTGTTGTTTTAATTTGCATTTCTTTGATTACTAGCAAAACAGAATATTGTATTTATTAACAATTTATATGTTTTTCATCAATTCTAAATGCCATCAACTGCAAATGCAACCCTATTTCAGAAATGTTGAGTTTTGAGAAAGCCTGCTTCTTAAAGCCAATGAAATCCAGGACTTATTCTTAGTGAATTAATTCCTCCACCAACCTTGAGCACTTGAGTGGGCCAGTCACAGCCCTCGGTGCAGTAGATGAACAGTGAGCCCAAAAAGACCTGGCTGTCGAAATGGTTGGGAAACAGACCATCATATAATCATACAAATGAATGTAAATTCAAACTATAAAAAGACCATGAAAGTGATGGCAACATGAACTGGGGAAGGTTTTCCATGGAAATGACAATTGATCTGAGAGTTAAAAAAAAATAGGTTTTGAGGCAAAATGAGGGTGGGAGGGTGACGCCAGTGAAAAGCTGAGGTTAGGATGTCTCCACTTACCATTCCTATTCGACATCACAGTGGGAGTCCGAACTAGTGTAATAACACAGGAAAAGAAAAGATATATTGGGAAAGAAAAAAAAAAGCAGTCTTTGTTCACAAACAATGTGATTGCCCATTTAGAAAATGCAAAAAAATCAACAAAAAACTCCAGGAACTAATAAGCAATTATAGCAAGGTTAAAGGTTGCCAAAATTAATATAGAAAAGTTAATTGTTCTCCTATGTACCAACAATAAACAACTGGCATTAGAAATTTAAAACACAATATCATTTATTATAGCACCCCAAAAATAAAATAGGTATAAATTAAACAAAAACAAAATATATATGTGATCTCCATGCAAAATGTACAAAACTGTGATGAAAGATATCAAAGGAGATTTAAATAGAGAGATGTTCCATGTTGATAGATTGGAAAACTCAACATTGTTAAGATACTTGACCTATAGATTCAATGCACTCTCAACAAAAATCTTCTATAGATGTCCAACTGATCTTTGACAAAGTAACAAACACAATTCAATGGAGATAGTCTAATTAATAAATGGTCCTACAACAACTGGACATCCATATGCAAAAAAAAAAAAAAGAATCTAGACACAGACATTCTATCTTTCACAAAAAAATTTACTCAAAATGGACCATAGATCCAAATATAAAATGAAATACTAGAAAACTTTTAAAAGGAAACAGAAAAAACTGTATGATCTTGGATTTGGCAATGAGTTATTAAATACATCAAAAACATAATCCATGAAAGTCTAACTTTTAATCAATTTAGACTTTATTAAAATTAAAAACATCTGCTCTATGAAAGGCAACTATTAAGAGAATGAAAAGACAAAACACAGATTGGAAGAAAATGTTTGTAAAGTATATATGTGATAAATGACTTCTATCCAAAATATACAAAGGACTTTTAAAAAGTAACAATAATATAAGTAAAGATGCTCAACATTATTTGTCATTATGGAATTGTAAATTAAAACAACTATAAGATACCACTACACATCTATTAGAATGGCTAAAAATTTTTAAAACTGACAACACCAAATGCTAGTAAGGACACAGAACAGCAGGAACTATTATTTTTTGCTGGTGGGAATGCAAGATGGTACAGCCCCTTTGGAAGACAGTTTGGCTGTTTCTTACAAAGCTAAACATAGTCTTACACTATCTAGCAGTCATGCTCCTAGGTATTCCAAACTGATTTTAAAACTTATGTACATATAAAAATTTGCATGTAAATATTTATAGCAGCTTTATTCATAATCGCCAAAAGCTAAAAGCAACCAAATGTCCTTCAACAGATAAATAAACTGTGGCATATTCATACAATAGAATAGTATTCAGCAACAAGAAGAAATGAGGTATCAGGCCATGAAAAGACACAGGAGAATCTTAAATGCATATGAGGAATCTTCACAACTGTATATAGGAGTCCTGACAGCTTAGAGAGGGCAGTGGTAGTTGAAGTGGACAAGTTCGAGAAATGCTTAGGAAGTGAAAAATGTCGGGGCTCAGCGATGAAGTAGATTGGGGAAGGGAGTAAAGGAGAGAAAAGTGTCAAGGATCCAAGGTGGTAGCTTGAGAGACTGAACCTGGAAGAGAACCTGATTGTGGAGGGATGTTCGTGAGCTCAGTTTCACATGTGTTGGGTTTGAGGAGCTTTGGAGCTATCATCCAAGTGGAGAGCTAAGTAGGCCGTTGGATATATGGATCTGGGGCTCAGAGGGTGAGTGCGGCTGGAGAAATAAATGTGTGAATCATGTGCACATGGACAATTAATTACTGAAGCCATGGACACAGACCACATGCTTAAGGTGAAATTAAAGCATGAGAAGAGACGAGCCTTGTAGAACCCTAACACTTGGAAGCCAGGGAGAAGAGACAGAACTAGCAAAAGAGACAGATAAGGAGCAGCTAGAGAAATGGAAGATGAATCAGGGGAGTATGTGTCAGCAAAGCCAAGAGACGGGAATGTTTGGAAGAGGAGGTCAAGGTCAAAAATATCCACTGATGTTAAAAAGTCAGACAAAGATTGAAAATGTTCTTTGGATGGCCTCCTCACGATCTTCCATTTTTATGGAAGTGTTCATCATTTTGTTATTGATTTTAAGAGCATCTTATATATTAGAAGTATTAGTCCTTTATCAGTTGTGTATATTACAAATATTCCCCCAATTGCTCACTTGTCTTTTAATTGTTTCTAATTTTTCAGTTGTTTTATGTTATTTTTTTTTTGTTTTATATATAGAAACTTCATGTGATTATTTAGACAGATTTATCAATTAGAATCATCTTGTGTCTATAAATTGATTGGGGAAGAACAAATAGCTTGACAACATTGAGTTGCCTCATCCAAGAATATGATATGTCTCTCTGTATACTGAAAGCTTATTTTCTGTAATTCTGAAAATTTTATAAAAATAAAGATCCTGCACACTTCTTGTTAAATTTATTCTTAGTTATTTCCTATTTTCTGTGCTCACTGTGAATTTTGTCTTTTCATCTTTCTGGAGAGCTATTTTAAAAAAATTAATAAATCATTTTGTTCCATTTACCCCAAGTATTTAGAGGTTTATGAAGGTATCAGAGGTAAAGCTTCATACACTAGTCATGAAAACCTGGTATTGCCCCATTTGCTAGAACCTTCTGACAAGATCCTGTAATGTAATGCATTTATCATTGGCATTAAAAATCTGCCACTTAAAAACAAGATGATTCGCCCTACCACACAGGCTGGAGAGCAGCTGGCTAGCCATCTGTCAAGATGGAGCCATGCTGGGACCCATCCTTGCACCACATCTGCTCTTAGTCTGTACATTCTCATCTTTGACATTGCCCCCAAAATGACTACAGCCAGAAATGGGTTTTCTTCACTTTGATGTGACCCAGGGCTCTAGCCAAAAACAAGGGTACCGTGTCACAGATAATCTATTAAAACTGATTCGACCATAGAGGTTGTCCTCTAGATCTCCCTAATGACCATCAGTCGGAGGTGCAGCTTCCTCAGATGCGTCCCACACGGAGGGGCAAGTTCTAGCTCCAGGAAGCACCGAGGAGAAATGAGTTCCAGACTCTCGGAACTGTGCATCGTTCCATCACTCCAAAAAGTTAGGCTGCTTGTTCTCGTCGCGGCCACCAGAGGGAGCCAAACCACACAGACCGGGAGAAGGAGCCGAGAAGCTGGGCGTGCGCTCCATCGTGATGTAGCCCAAGCTACATCAGACGCTCCTCCACTCTGCCATCAAACTAAACAGACTGGGCATCCTTGGAAAAACTCTCACTAGCTTTCCAGAAGCAGGCAGGGGTCAAAAGTGTAAGTACCCAACTTACCTTTCAGAACTGCATAGGGATTATGAAGAATGAGCCTCCAAAGGGCATTCTTAATCATCTCCTGTGTGAGGAGGGACTCTAGGCACTGTGGTTGGGAAGACGCTCCTACTATCTCCATAAATCAGGGCTTTCCTTCTACTTTGAAGCAAGCCTGCCTGGAAAGCTGCTCTGCACCCAACAGCGGGATCTGGCCCGCCCCTCCTCAAGCCTCTTCCCATTGTTGGATCTGGGGAAAGGAATTTGTCCGACATTCACTTCCAAGCTGGGCCAGTCCTGCTTCCAGTGATGCTTGGGTCTGCCTGTGCTCTCCTCCCTAGACTCCTGCTCCCACCCGGGCCCCTTGTCCTACTTGGGCTTACACTTCCAGTGGCGGCTTCCTGGGGCTGCTGGCAGTCCCCTCTCTCATTCACACTGCCTTTAATGTGGGACCCTGTAGATCCTCCTTCATGCCCCCAACAATTTATAACCGACTTTTGCTAAAAATGTAGGGGTGTGAGAGAAGGGTTTCAACACGGCACAGATTAGAAAATCATTTAAAATGGAATAGCAGACATTTAATTAAATGCATTAAATGGACATCCATCCTCACTTTTGCAATTTCTAATTCCTTATCCTCCTGGTTTTCCTCCTACCTGTCTGAGCCCTCCTCTTCCTCTTTCTGCACTCTCCTCTGCTCACCCCTCAGAGCTCTGTCCTGGGCCCATCTCTCTTCTTCCTGTCCCTGGATGCTCCTATTCCCTCTTCTGGCTTTGGTCCCCACGATAAGCACAAATCCCTGGCCCAGCTCTCTTTCTCTGAGCCCAGAGAATATCTCCTTCCCACATCCTACATTCACTCCAGACTCAGCATGGCTTCTGCTCCCAAACCTGCTCCTTCGTTAGTGATTCCTGTTTTGGTCAATGGCGATAAGCAACATGCTACAGAATCACCAGCACAGACCTAGGGACATCTCCACCCTAATTCAAAGGGACACATTCTGAACTAGCCTCATTTATACCCAGGAAATCCTGACATTTTACACACTGAACTAGTAGGTGCTTTCCTCCCACTTTCCAGCCCCCAGCTCCCAGCCCCTTCCATCATGTTATGACACAACCCTGTTATGACAGCAGTTGTGGCATTCTGAGGAAGGACTTTCAGGCCACCCCGGAGATCTAAATCTTCTGGTAAGCTGCCAGCTTCCTCTGATATACAGAAATACCCCCACTCCACGATCTCCTTCCTCTGCCCTACATCCCTAAGCACTGACACAATTCCAGATGAAGCCTGGCTTTATTCAACACATTGGTATCTTTACACGTATCGCTTGGGTCCTTCCACATGGAGGATCAGTAGATCAGACAAATTCCAACATGATGTAACTCACACATGGTAATAAGAATAAAGAGAAAGGCTGCACGTAAAAGGACCACAAGGGATGGAGGTGTGAGGAGCCCAAACCCATCCCTAACGATCTGGGAGATCTTGGGCAACTTCCCTCACCTCTCTGAGATTCAGTTTCCTTAATTTCAATCAAGCTAATAATAGTATTATACAGGTTTTATGAGACTTAAACAAAATAATACATATAAAATACTTGAATTAGAGCCTGGCTCCTGACAAATGCTCACAGTCTGTTATTATGGTCACTAGACTGTAAACCCCACGAGGTCAGGGATTCTGTCTGCCTAGTTCACTGCTATGTCAGCAGGGCCCAGTGAGCCTATGATCCAGGGAAGGCGTGTAGCTACTACTTGTTGGAAGAATAAATGAAGGTTATTTCTGTTTAATAAGCCAGGAAATACAGGATGAAAGGGAGATGAGGGGGAGAGAGAGAGAGACAGGCAAAGGGAACACGTATGGAGAACACAGGGAGGAAATATTAACCAAAGTGCTGTCCAAACCCTGGTCATTAGGCAGAATAAGAGTGGTCCCGATTTGGACTGAGGCCACCCCCCGGCACAGTAATTACACATTTCCAGCTCTGAGTGTTGGAGGAAGTTACTGGCACCGTCAGCAGATTAAGGGAACACAGAAAGAAAAACAAGTTTGGGGGGGAGAACCTGAAATAATTTAGGCTTTGCACCTACTTCATTTGAACTGTCAACTGGTCACTCAGGAAAGCTGTTGATGAAGCAATAATACTATGAGAAGCTCTCGGGAAGTGGGGCGTGGAAATACAGATAAAGAATGAAGATGTCAGGGGTGTGGCTGAAGCCGTGAGAAAGCACAGACAGGAAAAAATGCTAAGGACAGAGCCCTGGAAAACAGCCACAACAAGACGATAAAGAAGAGCCACGTTAAAGTTCACGCTTTTTCCCGATTTCTTACCTTCAGTTGTGGGGAGGCGTACTCAGAGAGGTCTGTTGGGTTGATCAGAATTACATGAGGAAACAGTAATTCTTGGCTACTCCATATCCCAGCTAAACGAACTATGGAACATCACCACGCGCTATACCTGAGAGTGTGTATCTCTCCTCATTTTATGGAACTTATCTTCTTTAATCTTGACCACTGAGCGTGAATAGGCCCCTGTGGGGTCATATCCAGCTTCCGATATACATTCCAGCAGTGGAAGAAGTGCAGCCTTGTCCAGAAGCTCAGGCTATGCATCTTCGATATAAAATCCATGATACCTGTAACAAAATGTATTAACATAAGTCATTCTAGGATTTTATGCCTTGAAGAAAGCTAGGCTTCTAGTTATCACATTCCATTAGCCTAGTCATAAACTTTTTAACTAAATGACTTTGGTAGGTCACCAGATAAATATGAGCCTATCACCGTTCAGCACTGTCCGGAAGGCCCCCTCCTCCAGGCAGGCTCCCAGAATCTGCCAGGCAAGGCAAGGCCCGCCCTCCTCCCATCTTGCACAGCTGTGTGGCTGCTCTAGTGAGGCAGTGCACACACGTTCCCACTGTGTGCAGCGTTCTCTGGCTGAGCATCCTTCCCACTGGATGGAAAGCACCTCCGGGCTAGGGGCTGTATCTTGGTCCTCCTGCATCCCCAGGGCTTACCACGGTGGGTCCATGATAGAGATCTGCCGAAGGAATGCATACAAGGACAAGGAGGAAGGGGAAGAGGAAGGAAGGCAGAGGTTGGAGGGAAGGGAGGCAGGGGAACATGGCCAGTCCTTTCCCAAGTACTAGTCCTCCTCTCTCCCGAATGCCTCTTAACTCTGAGAGGAATCCACAGGGAACCAAGAAGGGAACAGAACATTCTGCAGAGCCAGAATATTAAATGGAGCAACCCTGGGGATCTCTCAGCCATAGAAGTTGACGCCAAATGATGGTCCTTTCTGAATGAATGAATGAGTAGTGGAATGAATGAATGTGTCTTGTTTCAGGGAACCAAGGGTGATTAAATGCAGCACTAGCAAAAGCAAAAGCTAAATCTTCCCAACGCAATACAAAGCCGATGTGACTGACCTGGGAGATGAGAGGAAGCTGCACGAGTTCCCATAACGGCCACTCCTCTTCGGACACCACGCAGCTCCTGGAACCCTCTCCGGAAAGCGGTTTGCCGTTGGAAGGAACCGACCAAGATTCAGTGGCAGTGTTTTCTTGTGATGCATTGGGTTCGGAAAGGTATGTGGACTGCTTTCTCGGACAGGAGCGATTACACCTATTTAAAAATCAATTGCGGTTGGATGCATCTGACTTTAGCATATGAAAAAACGACAGCAAACAGCTCTGTGGCCATTATTAGAGACAACAGAAGTCAAGGCAGCTTGAAAAACCACTGAAATATTAAAAACATATCTTCTTATAAGTCAGTCTAAATTTATCAAAGAATTCATTACAGGTATGATCACTGACCTAGATTTTGAGAAGCTTGTGAGTCAATGTTGATTTTTCATACTGAGTCTTCCCCCACCCCCAAGGAGATATTTGTGGCCTACTTTTCTATTTTAAATATACACCATGGTTACTGCTTAAATAAGCACTTTCAGATATTTGAAGGCGTGCATTTTGGAGAAGTTCATCCACTGCCTGGGTCTCACATGAGCTCAGGAGTAGCTAAGCAAACTAATGGGAAATTGGCTACTGAGCCAAGAATGCTTTCTCTTCACTTCCAAAGAGAAATGGTTCCAACATAGCATACTACCTAGAAGCAAGCTTCCCAAAAACAAAGTTGGTTTTGTTTCATTAAATCTTGGAGATTTAATGAAACTCTATCCTTGAAAACTGAAATAAAAGTATTTTTAATTTTCTGCTTGACACTTTTTCTTGCAAGATGAATGGAATGCAAAGCTGGATGGCACACCAAGCCCAGCTTTTCAGAAGAACTATAATGAAAGGGGAGCCCGTTGTTCAACTAACCATTCTGCATTTCTACCGAAATGATTTCCAAGTTACCTACCCATTCGGGGAGACTCTGTGCTAGCTGGTCTAAAATGTGCAGATTTGCCCAGGTGGCATGTGCAGTGCTTAAGAGACCACGGAAGGTTTTTAAAAAAAAAAAAAAAAAAAACAACTCCCCTCCCCCACTGTGTGTAGCACAGACAGGCATTTTGTGATTCATGCACTGGGAAACTAGGGTGGGAAATGAGAAAAAAAGAGAACTGAGACAAATATTACCTGGAGTCCAAGATCTGGAGTATTAAACACAATGCCTAAAGTATAACAAATATTTTAATATGACACTGTGTTTAATTTTATCCTTTTACGAAATCATCTCATGAGGAGGATATAAAAATCTCCGTGATGTTAATTTCAAGTTGTCAACTTGACCGAGATGCGGGATGCCCAGATAGCTCATAAGATGTTATTTCTGGGTGTGTCTGTGAGAGTGTTCCTGGAAGAAATTAGCGTTTAAATCTGTAGACTGAATAAAGAGGAGCACCTTAACCAATGACCTTGATGTCATCTAATCTGTGCCCAAATAGAACCAGCACTTCCTGAATAAAGAGGAGCACCTTAACCAATGACCTTGATATCATCTAATCTGTTGAAAGCCCGAATAGAAGCAGCACTTCTGGTTCTCAGACCTTGAGGCATTGGCATGGATTGGCATGGATTGGCTTCCCTGGTTCTCCGGCTTTTGAACTTAGACTGCAACTACACTATTGGCTTTCATGAGCCTCCAGCTTGCAGATAGCAAGTCTTCATTAAGATCTCCAAACATCAAATTTGCATTTCTGGGTGTGAGAGTTTTTTCTGTGTGATTGCTGTCCTGCAGCACATTCCCAGGCACCACCTCGGCCAGCTATTCATTCATTTATTCTTCACCTGACCCTCAGATTTTTCCACCCCAGCTGGATTTCCCACTGGCTTTGTGCTCAACCAGCTGTAAAGACATCCATAAGACCATTGAAATGAGAACAAGGTCTCCCATTCCAAATTGATTTCTCAAGCAAGGGTTGGAGAATAAGCCCAAATACCTGCAATCTTGAAGCAGAAGCAGCTGTTCAGCCTTAGTTGTACAAGCTTCCTCTGAGGTTTACCCCAGTTTGACCAAAATCTTCCTATACCTGTGGCTGAGCTCCCAGGGCCTGAGTTGGGGGTCAGTGGGCAGTGCTAGGAGGTGGAAAGTCACCTGGGAAAAGGACAGTCCCGGGGGAGGGCCTGGGCTTTCCTGCACAATCTTGGAGTTGTAGAGCTAGCCATGGGCACGGCCATGGGTCACTGTGTCTGAATGACTGTTCTGGGGACACAGAGACCTTGTTTCCACCTCCTTGCAGGTGTGGGGAGGCACATTAAATATGAAGTCAATTTTCTTTGCAGAAATGCAAACTCTAGAGCAAAAATTGGGGGAGGACAATACGTTGCAGTAGCACACAATATGTCTTTCATTCTAAGTATTTTCTGCTTCTCTCTCCCCACTCCCACGTTCCCATCCCTGCTCCATTTTAAATTCACTGCCCTTATGAGAAGGTTGTCACAGCAGATAAAAAGAGAGAAAAACCTCAAGTTTCAAAAGAGGCTCTTGAATTTTAAAACTCATAGCAGAGATAGTGACTCATGAAAACAAACTTTGACTCTCAAAAGCCTCATTGTTGGATATCGAAAGACAAAGTCCTGGTCAACTCGTGGAATAATTTTTTTTCCACAAACAACAGATTCAGACAATTACAGGATGATCTAAAGAAGACTTTTTTCACACCCAGGAAGAAAAGAGATGTTGCTGAACTGAGAAAGCTGTAGGAGTGAGAGAAGAGAGGGAGGGAGCTGCTCAGGTGGGTGTCTGAGTAGGGCCTGTGCCCTCCCCTGAACCCGAGCTAGCTTTGAGTAGGGCCAGGGCGACCCTCAGGATGCAGCTGGGGACCCAACAGTCTGGAGGACCTGAGCTCTGCTTTCTGTCGGGAGCCTAGAAAAACCAGAGAGAAGAAATGGCCCTGGGAGTTATGGGGGAGATTATAGGACCTGGGCCTCCAAGTAGTGCAGTGAGCAGACAGTCTCCGTTCAGGAATGCTGAGCATCTGCAAGACGGTAGGGTCAAGAAGCACTTAGAAGTTAGCTGAGGAGAGGGGGCCTCCTCGCATGAGGGTGAGGGAATGGGGCAGCAGACGGAACAACCCAAGAACAGATGGAAACACGGTCATCCTAGAGGATGCCAAAAATGGAGAGATATCAGTGTCTTTGTACCATCTAGGGCCATGACCACCTTGGCAGAAGACAGCACGGACAAATGACAACCAAGAACACCCAGCACCTTGGAGATACACTAGAAGGACACAAATCCTTGACTAAAAAAAAAAAAATCCTGAATTGACTGAAAACAAACTAAATTGATAGAATTGACCTGAATTAACTGGACTTTTTCTCCTATCAGCTGGACTAAAGGCTCAAAAGAGAAATTAAATTGAGTTATAGAAATGATAAAGGCTCATTTCTTAGACTCCTGAAAAAATTAACTAAAATCTGTGCCTAATACAGTTCTCCTTATAGTCAACACACAGAGCTCCCCAGGCAGGCTGCCAGGTGTGGCAAATAAAAATACAGAGCGTCCAGTAAAATCTGAATTTCAGATAAATAGCAAATTAATTATTGATATTGTTTGTCCCATGCAATATTTAGGATATACTTATACTAAAAATTATTTATCTTTAATTCAAATAATTGTTAGTATAAGTATATCTCATGCAATATCTGGGACATGCTTATACTGAAAAATTATTTGTTACCTGAAATTCAGATTTAACGAGGCATCCTATATTTTCTCTGACAACCCTATCCCTCGACCCTCCTCCCTGGGTTGAGGGGTCCACAACGTATCTTTCTCCCTGTGGAATCATACCAGGTAGTCAGTGCTGGCCAAGACCTACCTTCTCCTGAAGCCACAGTGCCTGAATTTGCCTTCTTTTGTTTAAAAGTCCAACCATAGACTTCAGTCCAGCATTTCAGAATCAATTCCCAGAGCTCCTGAAGAGAGACACCTCCAGGTATTCCTTCAGACACTGAAACTCATTCTGGTAGATTCTACATTCTTTCAATTCATTTGCCAGGATTTGAGTTTTAAAGAATTCAGGTTTGTTTTTTTCCTCAAACTCTGTCTGTTCTGTCGAAAGCAGTCTTTGATGGGAATGAAGAGATATTGTCTCCAGATGTTTAGTTTTACGTCTTCATTTCCTGTGCTAATGAGTTCCACAGTCCTCACGTCTGAGCGAGCACACAGTAACTTGTGGGACAGGCTGGAGGAGAAGGTGCTCATGATGAATTTGTGATGAGCAGACAGCGAGCATGGCAGCCAAGAAAAATCCTTTGCCTGGTGGAGAGAGTCAAATACATTTCAAAACTTTAAAGACTTTAAAACTACTTTACTGGTGGTCTTTAAACTTAGATTGGTAGGATTTAGGAAGCAAGTACGTAGGGTAAAGGTTGGGGTAATGGATATTAACAGTAACTTGGATAGTTAGCAATATGACAAGAAAATATCAATTCACACTCCACAGAACCATATGTGACTGACTCCCGTTATGAATTTGGTAGTACAAATGTAGACTCTAAAAAGATGTTACTACACGCAAGCACTTCAACAAAAGCACAGACTTCTGAAAAATGAACTGCAGCGATAGGTAAATGGACCCATCCAATTGAAGAAGACATGGTTTCACACTGAGGTGTTATCACTTTGCTCAGCTACGCGCTCTCTCAAGTTAAATGGTTTTATTTTGGAATAAAATAAACAACTAATAAGATCTTTCTAGACCACCTTTAACAGCCTTTCCCACCCCTTTTCTAATAATAGCAACTATCATATACAGACTGCTTCCTCTGAGCTAGGTACTACGTCGAGCGTGTCTTCAGGTACTAACTGTATTGGTTGCAGTTTTTTTTATTTTGTGTCTCCTGATGTTTTGACATCTGTTTGGGGCCTTACAGATCTGAGGAGAGACTGCTACTCCCAAGGCCAGCTAATTCCTCAGGGTGGTGGACAGCTTGCCTGGATCATGTTGTCATGTGCGGACCAGCCTATCCAAGGCCGTGACCCTACCCACCTTCTTATCTCTCACTCACCAAACCAATATTTTCCCTGCCCTAAATCATCCCAGGGCCAGGTACCAGACAAGTAGGGATGGTCCCTATGCCACAAAGCCCATCAGAATCACTCACACTACCCGATCCTAAACTGCTTACTTTGCCCTGCCTTGCCTTTCCCATGGAAGCCCCAACAAAGGCTTTGGCCTCCGCTTTCCTCTGCCTCCTGTCACCTGCCTCCTGACCACCCTGATACTTCCCCTGGGGCCCTGTGTAGCATGGCATGTCTCCCTCTTTCAGGAAATGTAATAATATCAGCAGCATTGGCTTCTCCACACCATCATTCAGTCGTCCCTCTATAAGTTCAATCCCGGGTATAATTTTAATACATGAACTCAGTCTTCCTAACAACCCTCTAGAAAGGCAGAGGAGGAAACTGAAGCACAGAGGGGCTAAACATCTTATCTAATTCACTCTGACAGCAAGCAGCAGAGCTGGGATTCAAGCCGAGGGGCTGGCTCCAGAGGCAGCCTCGTAACCACGGCACCGAGCTGCTTCAGGGAGCTGCCTGCATGGCCCCCATCCTCCTGCAGGCTCTCCCAGCTCCTCCTCCGGGAAGCCTTCCCCAAGGTCAAATCCCTTCATCAGAGGCTTTCACAACACTGCATACTGATCTTGGGCAGCACTCATCACAGCTGCAATTTTATACTTGTGTGCTGATATCATTAATATCTGCCATTTCCTCTTGGAACAAAAATTCCATTTCTTTTCAGGGACCATGTCTGTCTCTGCTTACAGTGCTTTTCCCAAGGTAAGTGGTCACTAATTATTTGTTGAATGTATGGTGGTTGCCAGGTATTAAATTAAAAAGCAGACTATAAAATAATATAGTTTGTAACTTCATTTACATAAATTTGTGTGTGTGTAGACATCCATAGGAAAAAGCAGGCTATACACCGAAATGTTTAACAGTGGTGAGACTGTGAGTATATTTAATTTTCTATTCTTTATCATATTTTCTATGAGAAACATATATTACTTACATAAATTAACTACAAGTATTTTTTATGTTTTAGAGAAAATGTTTCACAAAGTAATGACTGATACAAAGAAGTATTACAGGTTCCACTGATGTAATATTACTTCAAAACCAGTAGATGAGAGGGATCAAAATACACAACGTAAAGGACATAACGGCAGCCCAATAAATGCCTAATAAAAGTATAAAATAAGGGGGCAGAACCATGCAGGGGTAAAGGCTACAGTTTCTGTAACCAGATTGCCATGTCTGAATTCTGAGTCTACCTGTGACAAGCCACCTAACATCTCCATGCTCAGTCTTCTCTGTGTAAACAGGGGTGATGATCACAGTCTCTTTTTCATAGGGTTATTGCGAGAATTAAATGCATTAAAATTTCTAAAGTTCCTAAAATGGCACCTGGTCCATTGGAAGTGCTGTATATTTGTTTCCTAAAAAATATAGCCATCACTGTAAGCAATGCTGGCTATAGCTATAGATATGCAGTACAATGGAAAAATGTTATGTACATTCTAACTTATGGGGTTTTCTTTTTATAAAATAGTAATAACATAGGCATTATTTTAAAAAGAAATTACCTTCTGTCCTGAAATCCCATAAATGTTAATCAATTCTTCAATTCCGTCTAGTACAAGTATACACAGCTTTAAGCTGATGGAAGCAATGAGCACTTCTACAGGAAGTGAAAAGACCAAGAAATTTGAGTCTTCGTTAAGAATGTCAGTTTTGAGCTGAGTACCTATAGTATAGAAATTTGCTCTTATTAGGTGAAAATGTTTCCATTATTGCTGTGATATGTTAATGGGATGGGGAAGCACAAAGGGTTAGGAGCAATGGGTGGTACTCATAGGTATACACCTGACACATATATATGAGTGATTAGCAGCCTCAGAATCTTCAACCTCAAAGGGATAATGGTATTTACCACCAGGTGTCCCCTACACATTTTCAGGATTTTACATTAAAAACATTTTGTATAATCCAAAGCATTACTCTTATTTTCCAAAATGCAAAAATAGATCACGTTACAAAGAGTTGGATGAGAAGAAAAAGAAGTCAGGCTACTGTGATCTGTAAACTTTCTGTAGCCCCTTAACACTGGGTGCTAGTTTAGGAGTCGCAGCCACCACCCTAGGTGGCCCAGCAGTGCACACATATGGCACTGCCCACCTACTGCCTAGCCTCTTTTATCCTCACCCATCTTAAACCTAACATAACCAATCTTAAACTCCTCTACCCACAATACTGGACCCCAGTCTTTGGATTCTGGAGATTACCAGGGAGAATTAAGTTATGAAGCAGCAAAAGGTACAAGAAATAATTTGAGAGGACCAACTTTCAAACTGTGATGAAGTGACATAGTAGTAGCAATCCCAAATTATAATCAACAACCTAATATTCTAAGAGCATTTTAATAGAACTATCTTGCTTTTATTTTTCAAAAGCAATATTTTCTGTAGAAATTTATGCAAATTAGAATCTAGAAAGTCAAGTTATGCAAAGAAGCTTTAATGGTTTAAGTCTCTCCAATGCATTAAGATTCTGTTAGAGTCATTTGGAGTAATTATGCTTAACGAATATTTATTGGTTGCCTATTATGTGAAAGGTTCTGTGTTAGATGCCTTGGAGAGATAGGAGATAAAATGATCTGTAATATAAAGTCAAGGAGTTAAGAGAAGTGGAAATGCGTTCTGTATACAAATAACCACCTTTCAAGGCAGAATGTGAGTCCGAAGGCTACTGGAGTTTGATGCAGAATTTCACAATGAAGAAAAGCTTTGTGCAGAAGACATCTGAGCTGAGCCTTGAAGAATGCACAGGTAGAGATGAGCAGAAGTCTCTATCAAGCTAGACAAGGCATAGGTGAAGGACTGGAGGGAGGGAAGTACACAAACGTTTGGAAAACAGGAAGTGGTTTAGAGCAGTGGAACACACCAGGGGCAGTCCAGGGATTCCAGGCTTCCTACAACACAGAACAGTCCCACACAGTGAACCTCTGTCCTGGGGTCTACCTGATTTCCAAACGTTCTGTCAGTCATACAATGGGGGTGGGGGCAGGGAGAGAAACGTAATAATAACCGATCCTAGAAACTAACTCCATTTTACATGTAAACTCAAAGTATTTTCTACATGGGTTAAAAGCACATGTCATTTTCTAGGAATGCAACTGCCATGTGAACTGACAGAAGATTACATATTATTTCATCTTAAATGACACCAAGATTTGTTCACCATTTCATAAGAGCACAACCCTGATAGCAATATTGCTCAGATGTTTGAGCCATCAACACAGCACACTCATGTCAGTCTACACTTACAGCTATTGTCTTCATGGCCGTTTTCCGTGCAGAGGCAGGCACCTGCCTACTCCACTGTCTTTTAATCATGTCTGAGCAATTACATGTTAAAATACGTATTATCTTATACTAAATTACGTTTTTCCATCTTCATCTTTTATATTACATCAGAGGGTTGCATTGATATTTACAGATATTTTTATGTCAGAGAATGACCATAAAATCAATGACTTGAAAGTTATATATGAATGTGAGACATAAAGGGGGAGAAGGCACCAAAAAAAGATAGAATTTGAACTTGTGTCACACAATAAAAAATATGTTTCAAGAACAGGGAGAGACAAATTAATCTTAATGCTTCATTCTTTGAGTATTCTTTTTTTTTTAATCTTTACAATATGAGCAATGTTGAAATTCCAGGCCTTACCTAACAGAATTTTAGGGCAGAAAGAGTTCTTGGAAATCATCTAATCTAGTCCAAACCACTCATTTTGTAGATGAAGAAACTGAGACCCAGAGAAGTGAAGGGACTTAACACAGAGATCATTAGGAGCTTTTAAAACTTGTTTTTCTACAAACAAGGAATCATTTAAAAGAGAAAATGCCTACAGCACCTAGGTCTTCCTAGGCGGTCTCCCGTCCTAGTACTAACCAGGCCCAACCCTGCTTAGCTTCCAAAAAACAGATGAGATCAGGCACGTTCAGGGTGGCATGGCTGTAGACAATAAAGAATCATTTAAAGACTGGTTTCAAGCTGTGTGTGTCACCGTTTCTTGGTGTTCACGGTTAATTAGCAGTTACAACTGGGAGGCATGGTCGTTCACCTCTTTCACAAAGCTGGAGTGGAGGATACATGACAAAATGGAGGTGAATGAACCTCAGAGTACACACAGCTGGACTATCACAAAGCATAATGTCACTTCTAATAATCAGCAAAACAATAATCCTAAG